TTTATGCTTAGTATCAATTTAGTCCTTAATATTTTAATTATGACGATTTAGTTTCTAATGTATAAAATTTGTGTTTGACTATTTTTGTCTATATTTGCTAACTATAATGAAGGTATTTTTGACATAACGTGTTAGAGCATCTCCAATGCACTAGGCATATAATACTTGTTAGTTAAAATGCCTAGTGTGATTCACTTTTTTCAATTCCAACGCACTAGGCATATGATTAGGCATTTTGGCTCAACTCATATTCACTAGCTACATGTAGCTAGCCTTTAACGCTAGGCAAAATGTATTCAATTATTAGGATCATTTCCCTCCATCTTTGTTGTTGACGTGGCATTCTATAAAATTAATAGTATTTGGATTAATAGCTAAAATAAAGAGCATGGTTGGAGTAAAAACATAAAACAGTTGATAGGCAAAATAAAATATATACTTTATAGTAATATTTAGATAGGTAAAATGCCTACTACCATTGGAGATGCTCTTAACACACTAACCCCTCCCTCTCATAACAACCCAATAAATAAATAAATATATATAAAATTGGTGATATTTTAGTATTTCTACCAAAATGTCCGTACTTCCGTCACCTCCATTACACCATAAGAGACATCCGTCCCAATAAATCACCCAGTTTAGATGTCGTGAGTGTTGCGGATTATTTTAACACAAATTCTATTTATTAGAGATTAGGCCTAAATTAACACATTCAAAATAGTAGAAAGAATTAAAATGACATAAATTATAAACATTAAAAATCAGTGGAGTATTCCCTTAAAAAAATACTACATCCTACCTTAAGGGAGGTTTAGAATATTCGTATTATTCAATTTTTTAGTTGTTCAAACTTTTCTTCATTTTTTAAATTTTTTTCTTGTTCAAAGTTTTCTTCATTTTTTATACACACTAACAAAGCATTGCATATAACTAATGTAACTATTCCGGTGTCCACCAACCCCTTTATCTTATAAGAAAGTTGAGGTTTAAATTTAAAAAAAAATTTGTTAAATTTAACTTATTTACATATTACACCCATCATATTAAGGCCAAGTTTGGCATATGATCAAAAAATCAAAAAATTACTCAAAAAGTTAAAAAATTATCACTATTCATCAAGAGTCAAAAAATACGGCTGCACAACTCTCAATCTTAATTTTCCTCTACATACTAATTTATACAATTTTTTAATACATATTTTTTCATAAAAATTCAAAAAGCTAACCCAAACAATCATATTTTTTTCCTTAACTTTTTAGTCTAAAAAATTAAAAAGTACATTTATTTAGGACATCCCAAACAACCCTTAAAGTGGGGGTGGTCATAAGACCAATGACCCACCTAACCTAATTCAGTCTAACAATTTTAGGATTTGACAATTTTCTTTTAACTCAGAAGGTTAAAGTCTTGTTTGTCATAATCTAAAAAAGTTAAAAAATTAAAAAGTCACTATCCTATTTAAATCACATCATCTTATTTAAGTTACATCACCTCTCTACCATATTACTTCAAATTCAATCCATATCCAACTTATATTTCATAAAAAATAAAAAATTACACTTATTTAGATCATCCAAACAACTCTTAAGTTGGATTGAAATTTTGAGCTCATTTTTTTAACTCAAGTTAGAATAAAGAGTTTTTAACTCAACCTTAGCTCAATCTGGTCAGGCATGCTCATTTATAAAATATTAGTTTTAATTTTTATATTATTTATAGGGCTGAGCAAGGAATCCGTGAAATCCGTAATCCGATCCAGTCCAGTCCAATCCGATAGGTTTGGATTGATTTTTTGAATCCGCGGTTCGGTTCCGGATTGAATAATTAAAAATCCGTAGTTCACGGATTGGTTCCGGATTGAATCCCACGGTTCCGGATTGGAACCGATCCGGACCGTATACAAATAGTCTATATTTTTATTATACATCCTCCCCCATAGTATCTTTTCTTATTCTATGTAAAATCTAAACTCAAACCTAAAACCGTATAATATCTTCTTTTATTACTTTTGTTTGTTAGTTTTAAGTTTTAATTTGCAATGGTCTAAATACTTATGGTGAAACCAGTTTTCTTATGGTTGTTTAAATTCTAGAACAGTATGTCGTTATTATAGAAAAACATGTTGCTATTATGGAACTAATATAGCGCTATGTTTATATTTTTATGAAATTCAAGTGTTATATATATTTTTTTGTTATTTAATTATGTGAATCCGTGGTCCTAAACCGATCCAATCCGTATTTAAATGGATTGGTTTGGATTGGTTCCATGATTTAAACGGATTGGATTGGTTCCAATTTTTTAGGAACCGTAAATAACGGATTGGTCCTGATTTTACCCCAATCCGATCCAATCCGGACCATGCTCACCCCTAATTATTTAGTTATAAATAAACTACAAAAATAATATAAGACATATTTCTTTCTAATGTTAAATTAAAGAAATTATTAGATCATATTTATTTTATAATTAAATTTGATTAATATTTTAACTTTAAATAATTATTAAAATATTTTAAATAATTTAATAACCCTTCAAAATAGAAAAAAAAACAAATAATAATAATTCATATTTATTGAGTTAAATAGACAAATTTAATTTTTTTTAATGATTTAGATGATTATGTTAAATCTGATGTGGGATAAGAATACATAAATGGTGTTACTATATTATGTAAATCTGGTCTGATTTAATATTTATCCATCCTCATTTTAAAGGATAATTACACTTTACTTGCTTTATTTTTAGTCACTTTTTTACTTTAGTCCTTAAATATTTTTATGTCACTTGACTGTAAATATGTTATTTTAAATAAAATAAAATAAATTTAAAATATAAAAGACTAAAATGAAAGGTTTTTTGGAATGATCTAAATAAGTGTATTTTTTGATTTTTTATGAAATATGAATTGCGTTTGGATTGGGTTTGAAGTGATGTATTAGAGATATGATGTAATTTAAATAAGATGATGCGACTTAAATAAAATAGTGACTTTTTGACTTTTTATCTGTTTTCAAGTATGCCAAACTTAAATATTACCTATTTTAAACCTAATTTTAACGAGTCAAACAGAATTCATGCAGCTCCATATACTCATGTAACGCACATATATATATATCTATACTATTATAAAGTGAACACATAATATGGTGTCCTGAAGCTTGCTTTACTCTCCTCATGCCATGTGGCAGTCTTCTTTTTTATTTTTTAAAAAAAAAGTTAAACAAAGAGATGGACAAGGCTTGAAATATGGTGTCCTGAAGCTTGCTTTACTCTCCTCATGCCATGTGGCAAGTTAAACAAAGAGATGGACAAGGCTTGAACCCATGACCATGGGTTTAAGTATGAAGACTCATACCACTTAAGCTAAGTACACATTATAATATTAATTTCATTATTATTTTCTTTTGTTCCTCTTTATTTAATTTGCACACAAATCGTGTGTGCCCAACCGCTAGTATATATATATATCACGAGGCGTGAACGTGAGCGAATATTGGGGATGACAGCTAATCGTCGCTCATTTGTTCATTCTCCGAATGATCACATCACCAAAAGCCTTTTTGAAAAATGTTCAAGCATCTTCAGATTCTACCCTCACCAGGTATGATTATGCATTTTTTTTTGATTTTTTTATATTATTATTTGTTTGCTATATATATATATATATTTTAATATATGTAACTCTGTTCAATGTTTTTTTTTTTAGTTGTGTGATTTTTTTATTGTTTGCAACACTATCACAGAAGCAATTTGCTTTAAAATACGAGATGCCCATTAATTTTATGAGTTTGTTGCTCTTTGTGAATCCTATGTTAATGTTGTTTGATTGCCAGATTAATTTAGGAGATTGGATACCACGGAATTGTGGTCAGGATTAGGGTTAGGGTTAGGGTTATGGTTAGGCAGGATAAATAATATTATGGGATAATAGATGAGATTAAATGTGTAGATATGATTAGTTATAGTTAGATAAATATTTTATTAGGAGAGATTTTTTTTTTTTTTTTAAAATTTTTTTATGGATGATGAAAAATTGAAATAATTTGGAGGGCTTAAAATCCGGACAATCCCACAGTGGAGGTGATACTAGTTATCCACTATTTAATCCCTCATATAGGAAATAAAGATTTATCTCAAGATTGGAAATCTAGAAAGCAAACATCAAATAGCTTAACGGGTGGGGTCGTCCTGTCAAAAACTTATCAGGGTTAGGAATTCAAGTGGCATTCAATTATTAATGAAGGTTGTTAAATTCGAAATTTTAGTTAGGATTGTTGAGAGAAACTTGTGGATTGGATCTAAGATCAGAAGGTTATACTTCCAATGTAAAATAATCGAGAAATTATCTATAATGATAATGTATCTTAAATAATTTTAAAATCATTAAAGAAAAATGATAAATTTGATATAATGCACTTTTTATAAAAAAAAAATAACGCCTAATTAGCACACATTAATGTGTATTTGAGAGAAAAAAAATTAGGTACACACTTAATCTTTGGTATAGTACACAAAGTGGTTGTTCCGAGACTTGAACCTATAACCTCAAGGTTATTAGGCCAGGGTTTTATGTTTAACATAAATTACACGAGATGTTTGGAGAAATAGTTTATAGTCAAATTTCTTTTATAAATATACATGTATATATACATATACAATAAATAAATAATTTTTTTATAATAGGATCGAGATTGTAGTAGAATTCTACACGATTTTATAACTAAGATCATAATCATTTTAAGATCCTATTGAATTTAATGTTCTAGTGCGATCCGAATCATTTGTCCAACTAGAGTCATTGGATCTTAAGATGATCCGGATCGGGATTCTGATAACCGTGTTATTAATGGCCATGTGTTCAAGTTATTCTTATTTTTTCTCAAAAGTGATTGCATGCCCATATTAGTGGATGGGTGCATAGCCATGTGGTGTTTCCGGAATACTAGATAATCCCTCCTGATTATCTGATCCACACTTATCCTCTCTTAATTCCACAATCAAATAGGGGGTTGGGTTCAATGATGGTATATCCATCATTGTTGGATCTCTTTTCAAGGAACTGGCATTTGTGAGGGCTATAAAATATAATCCCATCAGCTTGTAATGGAATTGAAACAAAAAAAAAAAAAAAGGAAAAAGAGAAAGGTATTTATTCGTTTAAAGGTGACAAATTAAAAAAAGAGCTAGATGTTAGTAGTTTTTTGTCTCTGTTTTGTTGCCACCTAGTTGGACACTTGTAATTAGTTCCATGTTTGAAAAAAAAATCATGTAAGGAAAAAAAATGAAGAGCTGTATCTTACAATTATATTCGGCGAAATAAAACTATGATAAAATCTAATGCTAATAGCACTCCTCAACTCAATTTGATTGTTCTGTGAAAAAGTTATTGCTAGTAGTTGAACTCCTCCATGACCCTGTTTCCCTAATACATAATCCTAATCTGTAGTAAATGAAGATATTTGTTTTATTGTTGAATCAGTGGTCCTGAAGATTTAAGTAGCTGAATACTAATGTTGAAAATTTAATGATGAGTTTGTCCATAGTGATTAAAATATAAACGGCTACTCAGTAACCATGTTTAGCATTCAACGATAAGTCAAAGCATCTTTGACGGTGAATTTCAAATTCAAGTGGTAACTGGTTATGCGTTATTAAAACACACATAATGAAACATACATTTGAAAAACTACTAACCCGAGCACTTAATTTAGTTGTCAAACATTTTCTTAGTGCCATACAATAGCTCTATGAGACTTGCAACAGTATCGCCCATAAATAGGTTTATGCGGGGGTTTGCTTGTGGAAAGACCATAGATTAAGGGTCCAGAGGGTGTGAGAAATTTATGGCATTTGCAGATAAATAGCTCTGAATTGTCTTGATTAGTGGGTGACAGGTTGCTGGACTGAATGTTAAGAAAATTGGTTGCAACATTTCTAGTTGCTAAATTAATGGTCAAAGAGTAAGAAAAAAGGTTAGGTTTGCCAAACTAGGACATTGGGATGAAAAACTAAAGAAATTAATTGTTTGTTGAGATGGTATAAATAATAATTGTTAATCTCAGTGTGAAGAATTGGCTTTGCAAATGTGTCAAGCTACTAAACTTTGCTTGTGAATGATGATATGTTTTTATCATTGTATGACATGTTAAACCAATGAAAATCAGTTGAAGATGATGTCTTTATATATTTTGGCAATTTGACGTATGTGACATGCACAGGTTGTGAAAATCTTGAAGGTTAGATACCTTCTCTTTTGTTAACTTACAACCGACACATACTAGAGAAAATGTACAGTATTTTAACATCTGATAGACAGAAGGATCTGATAACCTTCTTTTGAATAAGTCATTTGTTTGTGAAGAAGGGTCGATCGTCACCGTTTATTTATATTGGGCTGGGGTGGAACATGTTAAGTACCACATCAATAGGTCCAATGTTTATGTGATCATATTGTTCCTTGAATGTACGTGCAAGTTAAAGTGGCGTGTTTTAATACATGACAATTGTTATTCATATTTATTTGTTGACTTATAATGTAATGTATAGTATATACATTTATGGTTCATTGTGCGTCTTTGTGTCAATTAGTGATGTTCCTGCATGGTTGTGTGCTTATGCATCTCCATTACAACTATATTTGTTGATGAATTTGTGCACACCATAATCATTAAGTGGGGTTATTGTCAAAATTTGTAGCTTGAAACATGTTAATTGTTCTCCATAAATTGGATTATGTGCTTTTCACGCCCCTGTGGAAGAATTTGAGACTCTACTGCTCAAAATTTCAAAGTGATGCAATCTTCTCATTTTTAAGCCCTTGTAGGACTTCCATATTGAGATGCCATTGATGCTAATGTTGGAATGTGTGGAGAGAACTCTTCTATATCCTTATCATAGAAGTCAACTACTGGGTTTGTTTGATAAATCTTGATAACAAAGATATTGAGGACATCTAAAATACTATCTGGCCCATGAAATAATTTTTACTATTTCCAAATGTTACATAAATAAAGTGGGTGGTTGATCATATCACAGAAATCCTAAAAGTTTATTTCGAGTATCTTATCTTACCAAATCTGATGGTGTTTATGCTGAATGTCTCTTTTCCACTAAACACAGGAGGTTGATGATAAACAATAATTTTTGTCACTCTGCGCCAAGTCATTAATGGAATTGACTATCATCTCCACAGTCGTCTTTGCTTGCATTTTTTTTCTGGATACGGAAAGAACATCATATATATATCTTAAGGGGAGAGGAGAGGGGCGTGGGATCGTCGAACCCCCAACTGCCCACCAAGGTTCCTATCTGCTACGCCAAACACCTTGTTCCCGCTTGCTTTGTTATTGTAGTTGTAATCTGTTGTGATTTGGAAGGACATGTGAGGGTCAATGTTAAATTAATATGGTTGTGTACTGTTAGTTTCAGTTTAAATTATTTAGAACACTTAGGAGAATGGTTACCCTAGATCTGCTGCTTTTTCCGGTGTTTCACCGTCTTTTTGCTGTGGTTGGCATAGCTGGAGACAAGTAGGTATATGTAAGTCATATCCATTACTGGGATCATGTGGTTCATGAGAACTTCTATTTATGTCATTTTTGTCCTTTGCCCTCAAATCAATTTGATTGTTCTGTGAAAAAGTTATTGCTAGTAGTTGAACTCCTCCATGACCCTGTTTCCCTAATACATAATCCTAATCTGTAGTAAATGAAGATATTCGTTTTATTGTTGAATCAGTGGTCCTGAAGATTTAAGTAGCTGAATACTAATGTTGAAAATTTAATGATGAGTTTGTCCATAGAGATTAAAATATAAACTGCTACTCAGTAACCATGTTTAGCATTCAATGATAAGTCAAAGCATCTTTGACGGTGAATTTCAAATTCAAGTGGTAACTGGTTGTGCGTTATTAAAACACATGTAATAAAACATACATTTGAAAAACTACTAACCCGAGCACTTAATTTAGTTGTCAAACATTTTCTTAGTGCCATACAATAGCTCTATGAGACTTGCAACAGTATCGCCCATAAATAGGTTTATGCGGGGGTTTGCTTGTGGAAAGACCATAGATTAAGGGTCTAGAGGGTGTGAGAAATTTATGGCATTTGCAGATAAATAGCTCTGAATTGGCTTGATTAGTGGGTGACAAGTTGCTGGACTGAGTGTTAAGAAAATTGGTTGCAAGATTTCTAGTTGCTAAATTAATGGTCAAAGAGTAAGAAAAAAGATTAGGTTTGCCAAACTAGGACATTGGGATGAAAAACTAAAGAAATTAATTGTTTGTTGAGATGGTATAAATAATAATTGTTAATCTCAGTGTGAAGAATTGGCTTTGCAAATGTGTCAAGCTACTAAACTTTGCTTGTGAATGATGATATGTTTTTATCATTGTATGACATGTTAAACCAATGAAAATCAGTTGAAGATGATGTCTTTATATATTCTGGCAATTTGACGTATGTCACATGCACAGGTTGTGAAAATCTTGAAGGTTAGATACCTTCTCTTTTGTTAACTTACAACCGACACATACTAGAGAAAATGTACAGTATTTTAACATCTGATAGATAGAAGGATCTGATAACCTTCTTTTGAATAAGTCATTTGTTTGTGAAGAAGGGTTGATTGTCACCGTTTATTTATATTGGGCTAGGGTGGAACATGTTAAGTACCACATCAATAGGTCCAATGTTTATGTGATCATACTGTTCCTTGAATGTACGTGCAAGTTAAAGTGGCGTGTTTTAATACATGGCTATTGTTATTCATATTTATTTGTTGCCTTATAATGTAATGTATAGTATATACATTTATGGTTCATTGTGCGTCTCTGTGTCAATTAGTGATGTTCCTGCATGGTTGTGTGCTTATGCATCTCCATTACAACTATATTTGTTGATGAATTTGTGCACACCATAATCATTAAGTGGGATTATTGTCAAAATTTGTAGCTTGAAATATGTTAATTGTTCTCCATAAATTGGATTATGTGCTTTTCACGCCCCTGTGGAAGAATTTGAGACTCTACTGCTCAAATTTTCAAAGTGATGCAATCTTCTCATTTTTAAGCCCTTGTAGGACTTCCATATTGAGATGCCATTGATGCTAATGTTGGAATGTGTGGAGAGAACTTTTCTATATCCTTATCATAGAAGTCAACTAGGTTTGTTTGATAAATCTTGATAACAAAGATATTGAGGACATCTAAAATAGTATCTGGCCCATGAAATAATTTTTACTATTTCCAAATGTTACATAAATAAAGTGGGTGGTTGATCATATCAGAGAAATCCTAAAAGTTTATTTCGAGTATCTTATCTTACCAAATCTGATGGTGTTTATGCTGAATGTCTCTTTTCCACTATCTTCCACACAGGAGGTTGATGATAAACAATAATTTTTGTCACTCTGGGCCAAGTCATTAATGGAATTGACTATCATCTCCACAGTCGTCTTTGCTTGCATTTTTTTTCTGGATACGGAAAGAACATCATATATATATCTTAAGGGGAGAGGAGAGGGGCGTGGGATCGTCGAACCCCCAACTGCCCACCAAGGTTCCTATCTGCTACGCCAAACACCTTGTTCCCGCTTGCTTTGTTATTGTAGTTGTAATCTGTTGTGATTTGGAAGGACATGTGAGGGTCAATGTTAAATTAATATGGTTGTGTACTGTTAGTTTCAGTTTAAATTATTTAGAACACTTAGGAGAATGGTTACCCTAGATCTGCTGCTTTTTCCGGTGTTTCACCGTCTTTTTGCTGTGGTTGGCATAGCTGGAGACAAGTAGGTATATGTAAGTCATATCCATTACTGGGATCATGTGGTTCATGAGAACTTCTATTTATGTCATTTTTGTCCTTTGCTCCATAAACCTGAAACACAAACCTTTTAGGCTTAGAGAACAACTTTCACATTGGATGGATTTGTAGATGAAATAAGGTTTGCGAGTTGTTCAATTTAAATTGACATTTGAAGTTAATACAAATAGTCATTACCTTCTTTTGCAATTCTGCATTTTCTTTTCGCAGGGCGTTTATCTCTTTAAACAATTTCATATTTTCTTGATGAACAATAACTCCCTGCAGTTGAATCATTTAAAGTTAGATACTCCAAAATAAAATCTTCCCCTGAACAGAAACTGGTACCCATTGTGGGCAAATTTTGAGAAGACCTGGTGGTTTACTTCTTTTATTTCATCAGTTAAAATTTGGTCCTGTAGAAGTCAAAAACCATAATAAGGATCATACATTTGCTTCACATTATGTGACATGAATATCACCAAACAACAAACTGCACAGTAGCTAATTTTTTGTACCTTTTTTGCCCGGATACACTTCAAGCTTGTTTCCAATTGGCTTTCCAGATTTTCCAGATCTTTGACACTCAAACCAGAAAGTTCTTCTCCCATCAATTGCCTGAAATTGTTATCACATTGAAGTGTAGGTGCGTCCTCAAATGGTTATACAGAAAATATTTTATTTTGTAATGTACAAGAGAGCACTTTATACTTAGTTGCATCACCTTTTCTCTGGCTTGTGTACAAAGGATAAAGTCTGAAGTTAACCACTTTCAAGTGCTAGCTAATTTTGAAGTTCATACCTTATAAATGGCATTGTTTTAATGTTTATTGCTTAGTAGCAGGAAACTCCTACTTGGGTAACGTTTCTTACTAAGAAATGCATTTCTACGCTCCAAAGTAGAAACTTTCTCCCGTCAAGGAAAAAACTCACTCCCAACTGAGATAGAAACTCTAAACTTTGTAAATGTCAAAGAAACAAAAGAAAAACAAGGTAAACTTATTATAGTACTTTCTATTTATATAATATTTATTTATACTTGACAAAGACAATTTGTGGTTTATATCAATCTCAAATATTTATTCATATTTTAACACATCTTACAAGTAGAAAAAATAATTTTTAGAATATATTTATATATTAAATATATAAAATATATACACGCTCTAATAGGTGTTCCCAACCTTACAAACTTCTATATGTCCTCGTTCCCCCGCTCTCCGAGTCGGGTTATGTTCCATCCCCGATGTCAATTGATTAGGTTCCACTACTTGGATTCCTTCCCACTCCTAGCTCCCGAAGTACATAATGGAAAGAAAAGGCATATCCTACTGCTTCAGAGTCATAAGCAGCTCCTTCTTTGGTGGCTGCTGCTGCTTTGGATCTAGAATTGGGCCCCTTACTTTATAGGGCTCCTTGCCCCACCCCTGCCTCCGTTTCTTGCAACTAAGGTTTATTGTATTTTCTTACTTAACTTAATGTTATCTTCTCCCAACAAGTTAAGTAGTATGATAATTGTGAACAAGTAGTTTTTTAAGCAATATTATTTGCAATGTGGATTGGTTTTGTACGATGAATAGGAATGTGGTACACCATATTAATATGGTATGCAAAGGGTAGGCTTGTATAGGTCATATTATTGCTATGTATTAAGCTACTCCAAATGTGAGACTGATTTTTATCTAATGATTAGACATTTAATGGAACATAAAATGCATTTTACATAATTTTGTAGTTTTCTTATAGTCAAATTAAGTATGTAAACAATATTTTATGTGCGTCTTCTATATAAGTTGAGCTATTATGTTGGAAATAAAAAAAGCCATACAACAATCACTCAAAAGGAAGATAATTGGAGAAGAAAAACTATTCCTGCATACTTCAAAATGGCTAACTCAATTCATTCACTCAATCAACTCATTCATTCACTCTCATTACAATCTCTTCCAATAGGTAGATTACATGGCTATATATAAGATGCTAATGTGTAACTCACACACTAAAATTATTACCCACTTTCTCCACTACTCTTTGTAACCACTAAAACATTAGCATATCACCAATGTCTTTGAGTAGTGCTACAAACGCTAATTAGTACACCAACTAAGACAATAAGAGATACATGTGAGTTTCACCACTTAACATAGGTCTCACCTAATATTGTATCTACTTGGTGTGTTAGTTGGTACACTAGTTAGTGTTTGTAACTTTACTCAATGTCTCTTAACACACCCTAACACCATTACATGCATGAACTTATTGTAGTAACTCCCAAATCACTAACAAGAAGTTTATTTTTCGACATATTGATGTGTTTTGGCTCCTTTCCTTTAGATATTTTCAAGATATTATGTAACCAAAATATAGTATTTTGGAATCGAAGTGTATCATGTCTAGGAACATGCATTTCAAAAGGTAGATTGCTAGGGGATTAGTGTTTTTTGGTAACTATGAGCCAGATATTGCGTGCACCCCTACCTAATAGCTTTAATCTATTACCAAAACCTGCAAGTACTTGCTATCTAAAATTCTAGAAGCCCTTTTTTCTCAAACTCCTGCAAGCTAGTACTGTTGAAAGCAAGCAGACTTAAGCAGCCCACATCATGTTGTAACTAAGAATAATGTGGTTTGTAGTATTCCAGTTTTTCTAAAGCTACCCCATGTCATGCTGTAACTAAGAATAATGTGGTTTGATACTGAGACATGTTGAAATGTCATGATATGCATATACGGATTTTATCTTTGGCAAAGCAATTTAACACATTTTCACCAATTTTATTGATATATGGTCATTGATCAAGTGATCATATATCAAATAATTGTACCTACTCACTGAAAATATGATCCAGAAAAAGGTGATTATACCTGTGGCTTTCTTGCAAGTAGTTCAACTGTTGCCTTAAGCTTTCTGCTTCCCTTTGCCAGAACTAGCAATTTAAAAAAAGAAATGAAGGGTCAGGGGGATATGCCAGAGAACATGAATTGAATGAAATAGGAGTCATTGTGTAGTTCTAGGTCTTCTTAGAAAGTGAAAGCTAATGGATACAAAATAATCTTCAAAATATTGTACTAAATTTTTATATTGTCCATAACTTATGACAAATTTGTCGATTATTAGCACAAGTGAAGCTTCGAACCTTTGATATTGAATATATTCGACCTAGCCATCAATCCTAATAGTGTTTATATAAAAATAATCAGATTTTTTTGGACTATTAGAAAGTTGCAAATAACCAGATGTTACGCATAAATGCACACAACTATGTACCTTTGCTTTTATCTTCTTTTCTTCTTTTTCCCCCTTGATGTGTTTTTTTGTTTTGATTTTCAGTTGTTTGCTTACTGTCATAATCATTCTCTTCATATATCTTTTGAATTAGTTAAGATACTGTTTAGTTTTACTTTGGAAGTATGTATTTTCCTTTTATGAGCCAGGTGCCTAAGATCTAACAAATGCAGAATATTTTAATGTTTCACTAATCAACTTATTATTATGTGTTCTCCTTGTCATTCTTGAAATTTATGAGTTATCCATCTCTACCAACCTATTTGTTATGCTTCTTTTTTATTATTGCTATGCTGAGAAAACAATGCTGTATGCTTCCGAGGCCTTGATAGCAGTGTTCTTTTGTCACTGGGTTAAATGTTGCCTTAGCCTCTGCTCTCCCAATTGCATGTGGGTTTCCTGTTACCAACATGGGAGTAGTGAGCATTGCGAGTATTGTTTGGTCACACGATTAAATTTTGTACTACTAAGGCCCGGTCTGGTGAAACTTGTAAACAACTTTTTTAGCTTCCTCGTTTGGGAACAGGCTAATTTAGTAACTTTTTGACTATTTGGCTAAAATATGAGCTAAAAAAAACTAGTAATGTTTGGAATGACTTTTTGGCTTTTTATGAAAAGATGTGCAAAAAGTATAGAGAAAAGAGAATTTTTGACTTTTTGGTATGAGTTGTTGGCTTTTTGGCTTTTTTAGTAACTTTTTGACTTTTTGGCTAAACCGGCCTGTTGCCAAACGAGACCTAAGTTTCAAAAATGTTTGTTGTGGGCTGTTCTACTTTGGCTAGACCTACTGTTTGCTAATTAAATTCTCAAAATAAGCTCAAAAGCTAACTTTTTTTAAAGCTGGGTTTGGGATGTTTTTTCTAAGCTACCAATCAGATTTACCAAATGGGACCATGCCAGCCTTATGATAGTTTTTATTTTTTATTTTTTTTCTCTTTCACTCTTCCTTTTCTTTTTCCATTCCAGTTTAATCACACACACATACAAACAAGTAAGAATTTGTCTGTGTCATAATAGTTACTTTCATCACCATATTGAATGATGATGAAATATGATTCTTCTTGTTAGCAAGATGAAATGTTACAAATAAAGGTCATTAACCATTCATAGTTTTTTAGGAGATATTAGTTGATCATTGTTTTTTTTATTTCCATTATTTTTCTCAATTGAATCTTTGTTTTTGAAATTAAAGAAGGAAAAAAAGGAAGATTACAAGACAGGGAGTCTTAACTTACATGAACTCTTTATTATGGTTTGAGTAACTTTTAATTACTTAGGGGACAAAATGTTGCGTATTGTGGCTAATTGAGATCCATCATTGGGTGATCAAGTTTTTTTGGAATGTGACTTTTCATGTATTGAATGGGTGGGAGGTAGAGGAATTGATGACACTTTTGTACACAACTCCTCTCTTTGGGGAGGGAGAAGACGTGCTTGGATGCATGAGAGGTAAAGGTAGAAGATTTGAGGTAAAACCCTTCTATGAAGGTTGCATTTTTTGTTTGTATGGCTAACTCATAGAAAGATCTTGACTATTGATAAATTGATTAGGAGGAGGTGAGTTCATGTCAATTGATGTTGCATGTGCAAGCATGATATAGAATTTGTCAATTATCTTCTGATACATTTCATGGTGACTAGTGAATTTTGGTCTTCGACATTGGGTATGTTTGGTGTGACGGTGGTGTTTCCTACGGATGTGCAGGGTTTACTCCATGCTTGGAGGGGGGCAAGAGTTGGAAAAAGGAAGAAAAATGCTTGGATTTTGGTTCCCTTGGCTTTGATGTGGATCATTTGAGGGGAAAGCAATCGGGAGATGTTTGCTTTCTTTGGCAGATACTTTAGGCTTTAGGGTTGATTATTTACCCACAACTTATTTGGGACTCCTTGGCTCATCCTTCAAAGCAACTTCAGTTTGGGACGAGTGTGGTGGAGTGTTTTGAAGGGGGACTAGCTACATGGAATAGGCACTATCCTTCAAAGAGGCTAAACTCACTTTTTATCGAAGTACTTTGTTTGGTTGGGCTGCCTACTTTGTCTTTTTTTTACCATTCATGCTTCAGTGGCTCAGATATTGGAGAAGTTCTGGAGGATGGTGAGAGCTCTACAAAATTAGAATCATCCATGTCAAAGAATTTTAGGTTTTAAATCAATAAGTACTGTTGCAAAATGTGCCTATCAAAAATAGAAATAAAATGAAAATAAAAATAAATAAATAAAACAAAATAAAAATAAAATAGTGTTACAAAACGTAACTGAATATCCTGTGCGAATGCAGGAAATCTTGCAGGGTAATGGATGAGTTGTTCCTGATAGATTACCTTGGCTTCAGAAGTAGGACTCAACAGCTGATGTTCGTCATCCCCTTTGTTGTATCGTTCAAATATTGATCTCATGCTGTTGAGGTAAATTCAGAACATCAGGCACTTGTTTTTTCAACATGTCCTTACGAATGTACAATGCAAGAACTTCATTTATTGTTATCATGACATCAGTAGGAAGAGATCATTAGCAACAGTCAGATGTCAATAAATCGTTTCTTTTTTTTTTTTCCTTATATTGCTTACATTTCTTATTACTTGATCATAGTTGTGTTGTATTTGTGCATGCAAGGAAAAACTTTTGAAGTTTTTTTTCTCCTTGACATAAGTAGAAAAGGAAAGCAAAGAAATGTTTGGCACCTGTAAGTAGTGGTGGGGCTAGAAAATTTATTCAGGAGGTTAACAATATTTTGAAACAAGAGTAGCTTAAAGATGCACTACCCTTGTCAAACTTGATCCCGACTCACAAAAGAACAAACAACAACAATATGAAGAAACACATAACAAAACTACAATTCAAAGGCAAACAAAATAATTTGAAATTCAAAATACAACCCCACCCATGGCAAGTACAATTTTACTAAGCATGTAAATTTTACTAGATTTGTGAAGATGTTCAATATACTCTATTAGCAAGTATAAATGCATAATACACTAATTTTCTTATACTTTTGAATTCCATCAATTTCAATCAATTCCAAAACACATGAATTGCACCATAAAATATTAGAGAACAGTATGAATGGAGAGAATGCCTAAAATGACATTATTAATTTTTCCCTTCTTTTCTCCCACTCAAGAAAGCATCAATGGTAACCATAGTGTAGGTAGCTATGGCTATTGAAAGAGAGAACATAATGGAAAGAAAATAATAAGATCTTTTAGAGCAATTTACAAAATTTGAGATATAATATGCAAGTTCAATTTTAATTTTTCATCCATTTATGTAAGGGATTCTTAACAGAAGGTTTACATCTATGAAGCATGGGTACGGGTACGGGTACGGTATGGGTACGTCAATATGGTAAAATCTAAAAAAAAATAGGATACGGGTACGACTGGGTAAGTTTGTAAAAAAAATATTTATTTGTAATTTATAGTAATATAAAAATTAGTTAAATGGTTTAATTTGTTAAAAAATCCAGCCTACAATTCATATTTAATGCCAAAAGTAAAGGTGTAAACTAAAGTTAAATGTCATTATGTTAAATAACTTACAAACCATAGCTAATTTTAAAGTTATGCTAAGCATAACAATTAAAAAATAAAAAAAAAAGTCTAATGAAATTAATTTTACCTTTATATTAGAAGAAAATACTGTTTTGATTGAGGTATGGTACAACTTGAGTATATAGATACGTTTGGGTACGCCAAAAATTAAGAAGGAAAAATTTGGGTACGTGTTTCGTGTATTTGGTACGTATGTAGAAATACTATACGAAATAGCAGTACCCGGTATGGGTAAGGCATGTTTGTCGAAGTACCCATGCTTTATAGGTTTATATTGATACAAATTGATAGTTTTAGGTAACAAAGTGTAGCATTTATTAGTTAAAGTGGCTAGAGATTAGGGGAAAGTTTAATTTGCCCCTATAGTTAAAAGGGCATTTTAGTCATTAAGGTCCAAATTGAAAAAAATTAGTGGATGAGGGGTTTGAGCGTTAAATTTTAATTTTTAATTTTTTTTTTTTGGGGGGGGGTGTAAAGTGATATAGGACAATAGCTGAGTGTAATTTGCCCAAAATTTTACCCAAAATATCTCAATGTAGTCCAGATTCAACTCTTAGGTTATGTGTGTCAGTGAAGGTGTCAGTCTTGTTCATCCACCTGCTCATCCACACACAATTTGGTGATTCGAAATTAGTAGAAATGAAACAACACCTATTTTCATTAGTTTTTGTGTGGCTAATGTTTACTTATTTGGTCCTTTATGATGATATCAAAAAAATTAGTTTGGGAAATTTAACCATTTAAACAAAAAGGGGTTCTAACCATATATTTTTCTACCCCATCAAAATACTGAATCAGGAAAAGAATTAACTTCCTCTACTAATATGTTTTTTCCAAATTAAAATCTTAAAGAACAATTTTGTTTCCATTACAATAAGTAAAACATTCTATACTTGCAAGAATGGTAACATTTACTTGTTATTCATGCATGTCCCCATTACTCTAAGTTGAGTACTAATGTTGTGTCAAAATAGACCTTGATCTATTCACCCAAAAAAATAGACCTTGATCTGTAAGGATTTTAGCTAGAGTTGGAATTCATTGCTGAATTCTTTGGCCCAACAGCAGTACATGAGAGGTAGTCTTCTGGTTGCTTGTGAACTTGCAGCTTTAGGTTATAATCCATTCCATATATGCATGTTCATACACACACTCTCACCCTCCTTATATACATCTATTCATATATGCATATTGTTGTATGTTTAACCATGCCTAATTTTATTTGTTTATTTAATGTACATATGAGTGTGCATTGATGCACACTACATATATGCTACGTACATATGTGTTTGTGTATAACATGAAGATTGGATGTTCAGTTTATCATATCATCTCTATTTGCAGCAAGGATAATTTACATAACAAATTCAAATGTGATTGTAAGCTAAGGTCTGTTAATTATAATTGGGTTATTGTACATTTGAACTTATTGTTATTTACCATAAGTTGGTGAATGGTGACTATTTTTGAGGATTAGGAATTAGGTTGACTGATTTCAAGGATAAAATGCTTGGTTCATTGGTTGTATTGCATTGAAGAAATCTCTCATCGACGTATGGGTTATGAGCATCTTCAAATTAATTAAACAATGGAAATTTGGTATTCTTCTCTATGACATGTCTTGCCAGTGATTTTAGGAGCCTTTTTTCCATTTCGTGTGAAAGGTCATTAAAATTCTTCAAAGGATGTGTGCAAATGTAATAATATAGATTCATACAGAAGAAAATGTTCTCGATTTATTCAAACACCATACCTATGGGATACTATAGGGATAGAGGGAAAAGAAAAAATCAAAGATTTCACATTATACTTTTGATCAAAAAATCTGCCTGATTTATATCATTCCTTAAGTCCCATAGGTTTGATCCTGTAGATTTTGACTCATTGTCTCATTGAGCAAGATTTTTCTATCGTCCACCTTTGCTTGCTATCAAGTAAAATATATCCATATATCTCTGACATACATTCATTTTTTATTATTATTCTTAAAGAATATATAAGCTTAAAAGTTCATATTGACATCACAATAAGGGTAGTTGATAGTAAGAGAACTCTCAACTTCATGCACATAATTAGACTTGTTTGATGAGTGGATTGTTTACAACATCTATCTCATTTCCATTGCATTCATTTTCATGATTTCAATAGGAAATTCTTACCTGATAGAAGTGTAACTCACCAAATTTCTGCAGACCCTAGCCTATCTCATCTTGTACAGGCTTATAATTTTGGTATTCTTCTCTAAGACATGTCTTGCCAGTGAGTTTAGGAGCCTTTTTTTTCTATTTCGTGTCAAAGGTCATTAAAATTCTTCAAAGGATGTGTGCAAATGTAATGATATAGACTCATACAGAAGAAAATGTTCTCTATTTATTCAAACACCATACCTATGGGATACTAAAGGGATAGAGGGAAAAGAAAAAAATCAAAGATTTCACATTATACTTTTGATCCAAAAATCTACCTAGTTTATATCATTTCTCAAGTCCCATAGGTTTGATCCTGTAGATTTTGACTCATTGTCTCATTGAGCGAGATTTTTCTATCTTCCACCTTTGCTTGTTATCAAGTAAAATATATCCATATATCTCTGACATACATTCATTTTTTTTATTATTATTCTTACAGAATATATAAGCTTAAAAGTTCATATTGACATCACAATAAGGGTAGTTGATAGTAAGAGAACTCTCAACTTCATGCACATAATTAAACTTGTTTGATGAGTGGATTGTTTACAACATCTATCTCATTTCCATTGCATTCCTTTTCATGATTTCAATAGGAAATTCTTACCTGCTAGAAGTGTAACCAAATTTCTGCAGACCCTAGCCTATCTCATCTTGTACAGGCTTATAATTTTAAACTTCCTTATCATATGCATCATTACTACTCAGCTAAACCCAAGATAATGTTGTCATAGTGAACATTTAATAAGTTCAATAAAATTTTCAATTAGCATAACTTCAAAACTCTATAGTCTTCTAATTTATCAAAAAAAAATATATCTATATATATACGCAGGTGCCTGATTGACTTACAATCTTTCAAACTGTTCACAGAAATAAGCAAATTGACTTGCACTAAATCATCGTGATGCTGCAGTAGATGTTAGTCCAGTGCAAGGAAAATAGTAGATTTAAATCCTAAATCCGGAAGTATTGATTTTTCAGTTAAATCAGAAACAATCAAAATGAAAAACATAGAACAAATACATAGAGTCATTGAGGCTGATCATAAATCATGGGGATGCAATCTTTCAAGATGCAGAATTTTAGAGAGAGAGAGAGAGCTTATCTAACCTAGAGCTTGCAAATTCATAGAACCTCTTAGTACTGGAGATGACGATCACTCCAACTTCTGCATCACAAAGAATTGATAGCTCCTTGGCCTTCTTAAGCAATCCATTTCTGCGCTTTGAGAAAGTCACTTGCCTGCTTGTTGAATTGTCAATTCTTCTGAGGACAGTTTTTCCTCTTCCCATTTTTTTATTGAATACTTCGTAGGGTTTCGTCACTGGTTTTCTCTGCTAGATCCAGACATATAGCTTATAAAGAGATAAAAATTGAAATTATTGATGAGAATTACATGAAGCACTGTATAACAATCAGTTGCAGAAATGGACAATATTAAACTTAATGTTGCGCAGAGAGAGAGAGAGAGAGATTATTGTCTCTGAGGTTTGATGGATGGAAGGCTAGTAGGCTTCTGATGCATTTCTTGCTTTATAAGGAATGCTAAATTCTGATTAGAAGTAAGACCTTTTTTTGTTGGGTAACACGGAGCAATTCTGACCAAAAAACCACTTGGTGGTTTTCAGCTGTGGAAATTTAATATGGAAAGTAAGACATAACTTCGCAAGTACATAAACACAAGGTAATCGCCGAAAGAAAATTACAGAAACAAATAAAGACAAAGTGATGAGAAAGTCTGCCCTTTTGCCATCTATGAGCTCTCCCTTTATTTGTGTACAATAGTGGTACGATGATGACTAATGCACATGCTTCTCTGACATGTAACGGCCCAATCAAGAATCTTTTGAAAATATTGGTTATATTAAAAATGTATTTAACTACAAAGACTTCTCACACTCAACAAGACTGATCAAACAATTTTATTTTTTATTTTTATTTTAAAATTGTTTGTATATAAGGGCTGCATTCAGAATGACTTCTTTTAGTATAGGAACAATGAAAAATGTTGCTATCATCTATTGATGATTTGGCAATATAGCGAGTACAGGTGAAGCCCACTGCTTGCCTAAGGAAGCTCAAGACAGATTTCAGCTGAGGGAAGAGAGTGTAGCTTTCATTCAGAAGAGCGAGTGAGGTAAGCTTACCTCGGACTTATAGAACCACTGATATGACTGGTGGTTTTATTGCTATTATTATATGTAGTCAGAACTTGGATGGCAGTGTTGATCCTATGGTCAATGACACGTTGGGAACAAACACCCAAGAGTTTTTTTCTTTAATTTTGGCTCTTGTTTATTGGAATCTTGAGAGAGTTTGTGCAAAATTTTATTCTAAATTTGGAAAGTATTATATATCTACATATGAATCCAGCCTGTAATGCTGGTTACATGCTTGTCATGGTGAGGTGTCGAGATTAAATGTTTAGCTAGTGCACATACTCCACAGAAGTATTATTCGTGGGGTGCTTCTACGTGGATTATTCTCCAGTGTGTTGCTTTTTTTGTAGCAACTTGTAGTAGAACACTAGTAGGTGCAAATTTACATATGCGGACAGAAGTTATGGCACAGTGCATTGAGCCATGAACCAAGTAGTGAGAAGGAGGTTCAGTGGTCACAAGTTTGTAAAATGAACTCCCATAAATATGTGATAGATTTTTTAATTGTGAAATCCTTTTTTTGGTTTGTTTATATGACTTTGTTTGGGTGAATCACATAAACTTCATGTGTCATCTTCACAAATGGTACTGTACATAGAAGACTTTGCTAGCTTTATCACCATTTTTTCCCCCTTATCATCTACCAGTTACTAGGATCCATTTAAAAAAATTGAGAGGATCTGATTTATCCATGAATTTCAATATTGGTATTGCCACTTCAGCGTGATGGGGATCCTTCTTCCCACAAATCACTGATCCAAACAAATTATCCAAAAAAAAAAAGAAAGTCACTGATCCAAACACACCCTTCGAATTATAACTTTTTGAGAATCATGTCATTCCCTTGTCATGTGTTGCCACCAAAGTCATAAATACTTGAAGTAAACTAAATTAGAATTTTGTTTATGCTTTATGCAAATTAGTTTACACTACAAAGTAAAGTTAATAGAGTGTATGAGAAGGATATACGATCAAGTTATTGTTAACTACAGTTCCTTTTATCCGTTCAATTAGTTTGGTTTTTTTCTGTTGTAAATAGTCATCTTGCTTAATGTTTGTAGCATCAAGATTTATTTGATTTCTCCGAGGTCCTCATGTCTAGTGATCAGAATTTTTTTATCAGGACTTGATTGATCAGCATACACGTGAAGGATGCAATCACAATCTGCCATCTCATACACCTGATTTCATCCCAATGGCAGTGGCAAACTGTTTTGCAATAGAAAAAATGTGGGGCAAAAGCTGAAAGTAAGTAAAAATCATTGCAGCTTACTATACATAGATATTGCTTTTATAGTGGTTTTGTTGGATATATTTAGTTTATGCAATGTCACTTGGCGCAATGCAAATTATAACACTATTTAATCTATGAAGGTGCTTTGCACCAATTTATTAATCAAAAACAATTTTGCATTGGGCTCAGTGTCGAGTATCATAATCCCAACTTTGGCTACAGCTTTCATGCAGTTCTTCTGGGGCAGGCTTATTTGAGTCCTTCATCTCATATGCACCATTTAAGAAATAATATATGCAAAAGTCCCAGTACATACGTACATGTATTTTATGCTGTGTTATTTTATTATATTATTATTTTGGGTTTTTGGTGGAGAAGGGTCAATTTTATTTGATAATGAGAAACCCCTTGACCCACCTTTAGTAAGACTTGGGATAAAACCGTAGATACGTACGACCACCCGCTACATATTGGGCGATGTAGGGACTCGAACCTAAGACCTCCTGGTTGGATATCAGGGGACTTATCATTCAAGCTATTCCTTATGGTACATAGACTTGGGTATGGGTATCAAGATATTGGGTACTAGTCCTCAGTTAAATCTTCATAAATTTAAATTTTAGGATATTGGCATATACATCCAGTGTTGGATATGGATACGGAGACACCTCTCAAACAATTATATGTATTACATATTGTATAATATTCTTGGATAAGATAATGTAAATTATTTAAAAATGTACTTCTAATTAAGTGAGATTTAGGTAAAATATGAAATTTATATCTACCATTCATGTGAGAAGTTAGAAGTGTTTCTTTACTATCAAATGTGAGTGCCTTCTTCAAATATCATATAAAATTAGAGGATCCGGATGTTTAAATTGGATACGGGTGTCAAACACATATTTTACACTCTTACCATTGTCATATCCAGTGGACATAGAAAAAGTAGTATACTCCATGTTATACAGGCTAGCATTCACGGTAATGGACGGTAGTTGTTATATGAGGTGTCTAGTTTTCAAACAAATTTCTTGAATCTAAGGTTTTCAACTTATTTCTTGTACCCAGATATTTTGTGAAATCGATGAAATTGCAATTTCATTATGGTTTAAATAGTTGATTGATGATCCTTCAATAAAGTTGTAAATTGAACTTGCGATTTCACGTCTTAATGAAATTAAATTATTTCATCAGGTGTTAAAATCTAACACTACTTGTTGAACTTGCGATTTTATGTCTTAGTGAGACCGCAAGTTCAACCTGCAATTGAATGTTTAAAATATGGTTTCACAGCACACTAAGGTTTGGAAAATAAAGTGAAAATTTCTTGGGTTTGGGAAATTTCTTTGCAGCCTTTTGATAAAAAAAACTTGCGTATGGGATGGCTGGCACCATGCCTTGTTGGAAGTCTTGAGTTATCGTCAATGTGCTAACCCTAGGCTTATCTGTGCATGTCGAGTGGAGGGGTCTGGCATGTGCTAATGGAGAGAATAGGATGGAAAACAGGTAGGTCATGTACTACCTACCCATTAGTGGGACTTCGAAGATGATGAATCTTGTTGCTCCAAATAAACGTGCTCACATATATGCCTGTCTGGTGGATCTGCATGCTATTTGACAGAAGCAAAGCCATTCCTTTTCTGACTGGTTTGCAACCAAAATGATTATCCAACATCAACAACCATGTGCTAGGATTAAGACAGTCTTGTTGTCAGATTCAATAATATGAGTTTCATGCATCTCATTATCTGGGTTGATCTTTAACCATCAAGGAATGATACTATACATTAATTTTGATAAAATGTCTCTTTTCTGACCCATTGCTACTTTGTATGGTGTTCGACAGCAGTGTTTCCAATAAAGTTTGAAAAAAATGTGTGAACTAAAAAGGAAAAGATTGAAGAAAACCATCGCCACACACATACACACGGACAAACTATCATATATATTGTTTGAATAATGTATAGAGAGGTAGAATTGATTGTATGTATTCATATGGTTAGGGGCTCCTTATATAGGAGACGATTTACAAATTGTAATGATGAAAATCTAAAGCACTAACATTGCACTATACATAAAGTATAAACCACTAACATAAAGCTAACACACTAAGCTAACACACTAACATATATATATACACACATAAGCTAGATATAATCAACGGGGTTAGCTTGTTGACCAAGAGTCACTACACTTCACTAGGAGGTCAGAGGTTCAATTTTGTTTCAATGTGTTTGTATTTATACATATATATCCTAGATATAATCAACGCAATTAGTCTATTGGCCAAGAGTCCCTGCACTTCACTGGGAGGTTAAGGTTCAACTTTCCACCAACTTTGTAGGTCTTTTCCCCTTTGTTTGTTAGAAGTTTTGGTGTTTTTGATGGTTATTTAGTTGGATTTTCTTTCATAGTTGAATTTCCAGTTTGATGTACGTTTTAATGATATTTGTAATTTATGTCCTACCAATTGAGTTTAAAAAACATATAGATATATATATATATATATCATACCTTGGATATACATAATTAAAGTACCATATATGCATATATACATCTATATAAGCATTAATCTGTCAAGACTGCAAGGAATCTCTAGCCACATCAATAGTTTCTATTATTGTGGTGGTAACAAATCTTTCTTCACATACTTGGTCGTGCGCAACATGAAGGAAAAGCACAAAAAAATTAGGAATTTTTACACCTCTTTTGTTGGTGCAAACAAACAAATCATTTAACTGGTGAAGCTGATTTTGTCTAATTAAATAATCAAATTGGGTAATACCTAAAAGTTGTGTTCACACTTAGAAATGTTCCAAATAATCAAATCAAATTCTGAAAGATTAATGTTGTAGTTCGAGATTCGATTATATTATTGTCTTAATTTAAAGTTGTGTTCACACCTTAGACTTGTATTTTAAATTGTCAAAAGCAGTACTGGTTTGTTGGTGTGAGAATTGTCAAGGTGATTATTTAAAGCTGTGTTCACACTAGAGAGTTATAAATTGAATTTGTCAGAAAGATAGGTATGTTGAGAAGTCATTTGCTAGCTGTAAAATGTTTACAATGCCTGATCTCTTTTGGATATTATTTCCAGTTTTTGTCTTAACAGAGCACAAGCTTCCAAGCTCCAGATGCAAATCTTTCACACTCCAAGGGTACCATTTATGCTTTTCACTTGCTTCGATGATCATAAATTCAATGATCATAAAGACTAGGGGTGAGTAGCGGATATACTGATTCACCCAAACTGACCGAATCAAACTGATCCGCTGCATTTTGGACGGATGTGTAATAACGAGCGGATGGTTGTGGATTGATTTTTTTCAATCCTCAAAATAACAATATTAAACCCATCAATAAAGACATGCATTGATATGTAAAAGTTTCACATTCTTCCATTTAACAGAGTTTCATTACAAAAGTATTACATGTTAACGACAAAAGCAAATGCCCTAAAGGCTTACAGCTTTCCAAGTTAACACTTGGTTACAACAAAAGAATACTAACTCGTTTACACATTAAGCCCTTGGCTTGAATTTACATGTAATACATCAAAAATAAGACAACAAAAGTGTGTCCGCCTCTAGCCTCCCAAGCTACGTCCTTGGAGGTGCATGCTACCTGTACCTGAAAATGATATTCCCATATAGGAAAATGATATTCCCATATAGGGTGAGCCACAGCCCAGTAGAAATACACTAAACCAAACATGAAAAATGACTAAAAGATTAGCAGTTGATAGATGGTCAACAGTGATACTTTCTCTTATCACACTTTACAGTTTCATTTACAATTCATTTTCCAGTTCCTTTCAATTCTCATTTTTATAACCATGGCTCAGAACCTGGCCAACAACTCATATGAGACAGTAACTCATATCAAACACTTCCCATTTCACATTAGATAAGCATACTAGCTATATCACACAACAACAGATAAGCATACAAGCTATATCATCACTTCCACAGATATGCATATGAGCACTATCACACTTCCAATGACAAGCATATGAGCTCTGTCAACACATCACTAGATGAGCATATGAGCTCTATCTATGGAGTCCATCCCCTATCTCCTCCCAACAATATCCGGTTAGAGGTCCATCCCCTATCTTCTCCTAAACCGTGGAGTACATCCCCTATCTCCTCCAACACAACACAATACATACAGTTAATGTATTCTATCAACCGTCACATTCCATGACACATTTCATTGATTAGTTTCCGTTTGCCTAATCATCATGCATTGTCTACAACAATCACGACTATCCTCCACCGATAGCCCAAAGCAATTATTTCTAAACAGAAAATAAATGCACAAATGGATATAAAATCAACATTTCAATTCGGTGAGTGATAAATAATTCAACTACACCCTTTTTCCCCATACATTCTCAATCTCAACAATTTCATTTCATTTCCTCATTTCTCACAATTAATTATCTCAATTAATCAAACAATGTAATTAGGTCACTTTCCATGATTAACATTTCAACCCTTAGGTCCCATTTTCATCAATGATTCAACATTAATTTCCATTTCTCTATGCCAAACATACATCTAGGTTTATTATAATTAAAACCCCAACTTTTGTAAAAATAACACAAAAGCCCCAAACTCTCACAAAATTACCAAACCAACCCCAACATCTCAAAATACTAAAATTTAAGGACAAAATCCATAGAGAGGAGTAGGATATCCCTACCTCAAAGTTTGAGCTCCAAAGGAGATGAAGACCAAAATCAAAATGCTCCAAAGACCAAGATTTTCGGATGAAAATGACGCTCTCGACGATCAACACGACTTTTACAAAGGCCGAAGGTGAGGAACTCACACTAGCTAGATCAAAATCTAGAGAGAAGGCAAGATTTTAGAGAGAGGAGCTCTCAAAATGGCTTTTAGAAAAAGTAGGAGAAAGAAAGAAAAGCAAAAAGTGATTTGAAATCACCTAGCGGATAACTCATATACGCATGACCCGCTCGAGCGGAGAACACGACGCATCTGGACACGCTCGAGCGTAATAAGGCCCGCTCGAGCGCCAAGACACAAGAATAAAGCACTTCCGCTCGAGCGCGAAAACCAGTCCGCTCGAGCGTGGATTTCCCCCTCCCAGAACTTATACTCTGGAAGTACTATCCGCTCAAGCGGCCACCGACCCGCTCGAGCTCCACCGCTCGAGCGTAAACAAACCCGCTCGAGCGCAAAAATCACATCTGCAGAAGTTTTGCAGAGACACGAAATACTGGAAGTGTGTAATCCCCGCTCGAGCGCAATAATACCCGCTCGAGCGGACAGGGCAAAATCTGGACAACTAGTTTTGGTTTCTAAACTTAACTAACCTATAACAGACCTGCCCAACACATCCCATAACTCAAATACAAAGTAAGAAAGGATGCAAACAAGATAATGATCAACTACCAACATCTACGGGCACATGCCCGGATCACTGCACAACAAGGGTAAACCCGGGATCGCTATAGTCTAGTTGTGAACGGATGACAGATTTGAGGTTTCTTTGGTCACAACCAAACCGCCAAACCGCGAACATCCCTAATAATTTATAAGACTTTGCATTTTCAATTTGTTTAGATATTCTGATTATATTTTCAATTGACAAATAGTTTAAGTATTCTATTGAATATATTCTGTTGAAAAAGAGTTTTCAACTTGAATATATTTTTTGAATTGAAAAAAATTAATGTATTATTTGTCTATATTTATTGGTTTTTAAATTTAACTCTAAAAATAGTAAATAGAAAATATGATATATGTTGGTTGATTTTTAATTTCAAAAACAGATATAGATGTAACAATATAGAGGCATACAATCTCTATTAATGCTTTATTCATGGTTTTGGTGATTTGAATTATTTTTATATTTTAAGAATCACAGATTGTGATACTTTATGTGGATGAGATTTAGTGATGCTGCTGCACGGATTGTGCAGCAGCAACTGTTGTGCGTCAAAATGGGCCCATTTCAGGGCCCATTTTGATAATCCGAACCGTTTACATTTTAGAATACATCAAGTAGAACATGCCTGCAAAAAATTAAGTTAATCGGACATCGTTTACCTATTCATCCACTTACATTTGTATTCATTTTAATACTTTAATTTGCAATTATTATTTATTTTTATAGATACAAATGTGAGTAGATGAATGAGTAAACGATATCCAATTAACTTGATTTTTTGTAGGCATGTTCTACTTGATGTATTCTAAAATGTGAACGGTTCGGATTATCAAAATGGGCCTCGAAATGGGCCCATTTTGACGCACAACAGTTGCTGCTGCGTAATCCGCGCAGTAGCATCACTAAATCCATGTGGATGAGATCCACATGCAATGATTATAATATTCTAAAATTTCAAACTTTCTTTCTTTGGATGAGACATGCAGTGATTGTAATACTTTTTTAAGTCATTGAGTATAATATTTTTTTTTTTGAAGAAGTGCACAAGTTGAATTATGTTGAAAATTTATAAAATTTTAAATCACTAAACCGATTCGCATCCATTTGCTAATCCATCAATCCGCTCAATTCACATTCACCGGATTGATGGACGGATGCAAATTGATTTTCTCTAATCTGTCAATCTGGTAGACGGAGGATGGATTGGAGGTTTTGTGGCCGCAATCGACTTGCGCCCACCCCTAATAAAGACTGGTAAACTTCATCACTATTGTTACCCCAATTTGTTAAATACTACTATTTACATTTTTGGTTTGTTGGAATTAAATGGTATGCGTATATATAATCATAGTTGCTAGATTGAAAATCACATCGCGAATCGAAATCCTAATTTTATGAATTATGAATCAAATCGAATCAAGAACTATAAAGATTTAGTACAAATTATAACAAAATAATGTTAACAATTTTATATATGAAAAAAAAAAAAAATTTGATTTAGGCGTGTGTTATAAAGCAATTCTTATAAAAGGATATGTTTATGCCATTTAATTGGTAAGGCATTTTTTTGTTTTGTAGCAAGAGATGTGATCCAAATTCTGAAAATGTAAAATTATTCAAATACCACAATATAACCTTATATAGAGCATAATAAGGAGAGAGAAATTGGAATCTTTCATTCTAAAATGTAAAAGATTTTATGATTGAATTTAAATAAATAAATAATTGTGAAATTATTGATTCTGACTGCCATATCTTATTTAATATTAAATTATATTTATTTCACTAAAATAATAATAGATAATTCATAGGTGAAAATTATTTTAGGCTTAAAAATTCTTAGATGATGCATTATGACATAATTTTTAGCAAAAAAAGGTTAAGAAAGTGTAGGCTTTGACATATGTCAGACTAAAAATGGTTGGAATATGTCGGATGTAATAGTTTCAAATATTACATGAATCGTAAAAAGTAAAATCATAATGTGAATCAATTGTAAATTGTACAATTCACCATAAATTCTATCCCAGATAAATTCACTCAAAGATTCAAATTGATTAATATATGAATCGCGAATCAAATCCTAATTGAATTGTGAACCAAAAGAATTTAAGAAATAAATAAATATATTTTGTAAAGGTGGCACGTACTATGTGTGTGAACTTTTTTACTAAGCTTTATTAATTATTTAAAAAAAGATTTAGTTTTTTATTGAGTGGAAGCAATGTCAAACACTTGAGAAGTGGTTTGAGTTTAGTGGGAATTCAACAACTACCTAGAGAGGTAGGTTGTATAAGATTTCTGCCATTATAGCCACACAATCTCTGCCAACTGAAGTTTCTTACAACTAACCTTTTATCCTTCCCCAGAGCATAAATATTCCCGTAATCTCTACCAAAAAAAAAAAAAAAAAAAAAGAAGAAAAAAAAAAAGAAAAAAAAAAAAAGAAGAAGACGACTCAATGCATAAGACTCCAATAAAGTAGGGGTTTGTTGAGAGCAACATGTACACAACCTTCTTTTAAAGACTGTTTTTGTGACTTGAATTTACGCTCCAAAATTCGGACAATTAAATATCAAATTAGGGCTAAACTCCAATCAATATTCCATCATCCAAATCCTAGGGGTGAAACAAAAAAACTAAACGCTAACCAAACCATCCACCATAAATTTCATAACTAAACAATAGCTCAACATTAAGGTAGCAACAACTAGTCAAAACAACTTAAATAAAGTACGGTTACAAACCATGCCAAATTATTCCAATACTAAAGTTATAAAAAAAATAAAAAAATAAATAATAAATACATAAACTAATATCAACCCTAAGCTCAAGAAAACAAAAAAAGTCCAATCGACATGTCTTACGATCATAGTTATTTCTTTTCATCACCATAGCCTCAACTAATCTTGCAAAGGAAGCTCGGCTGCGCTCAAACAGAACGCACCCGAGTT